TTTATTTTACAAAATAAACAAATACATTTAATTCGAATTTTTTATATATGTATATTTGCATATGTATGTTAAATTATACTTGTAATATTTCATATTTAAAATATATTTTGGATATTTAATGTATTTAAATATATTTTAATAATATATTTTAAATAATTTTCATATATATTTTTAATTTAATTTTATTTTGTTACGCAGTTTTTCTGTTGTTCCGTCTGATTATTTAAGTCAAAAGTAGTTTCTTTGGCTGCTCGAACAAACAGACCCATGTTCTGAAAGCGTCACTGCGTTTCACTCTTCAGAAAGTCAAATGACTGACTTCCAGTGACTCTCACTTCTAGTGAGAAAGTATTTTAACATCCAGAAAATGACACGCTTCTTGTTGAAGTCAGAATAATTCTGACTAATTAATCCAGCATGCAACCGCAGTCTGAAGTGATGTGATTGGTGTTAAAATATAAGTGGTTGAGGTCCGTCAGTTTGTGGAAAGTTTGTGGGTCGCCGGCAGGGTCTTCAGAACTGCAGCTTGCGCTCAAATGAATCTTTCCTGACAGTTTACAAGACGAAGCCGTCAGAGTACGGCAGACTGACGGGATGTGAGGGACACAACAGTGTAACGCATCCGACAGCGTTTGTGTAGCTTTAAAATCCTGCTCCGCTTGGAATTCTGGGAAGGGTGAGAGAATTATATGCAGAAATTCCCCCTCGATATCACTGTGAGGCGATCCTCATCTGCCTTCATCAGCTCAGAACGCTCTCATTTATCCTCACTATATTGCTTTTAAAAGAAAGTGATGTTTAAAGAAGTCGTCACTATTATATTGCTTATATTAGGGTTAATAATTAATTCTGAATATTGCACAAACCTATATATTAAAATAATATAAAAAATTATTTTAAAATGCATTTTATTTTATTATTTTTAGTGCTGTCAAATGATTAATCGCGATTAATCGCATCCAAAATAAAAGTTTTTGTTTACATAATATATGTGTGTGTTCTGTGTATATTTATTATGTATATATAAATACACACTGATGCATTATATATTTTGAAAATATATATACAGTGGTGTGAAAAAGTGTTGGCCCCCTTCCTTTTTTCTTATTTTTTTGCATGTTTGTCACACTTTAATGTTTCAGATCATCAAACAAATTTAAATATTAGTTTAATGTTGTGCTTCATTCAGAAATTAATTGTTAATGCCATTCAAATTTCAGTGCAATTCCTGAATTTAAAAGAAAAGAAAATAAATATTTACTTTCTTTAACATTACTTTATTACAGTTAAATTCCTGAATTGAACTGATGTTACAAACAGGATGGAGAATTTGAATGGAAGGAAGAAGAATTCAAGTTAATTCAAATGTAAAGAAATTCAAATAGCTATCATTTTTGACTATAAATCCCTCTTATACTGTACATGTTTTGATAGCACACAAGCCTGATGGCGGTGAGTTCTGCATGGAGACGCTTCATCCACAAGCTCTTCAGATGCCAAACTCTCGCTCCTCTCATTGCTGTCAGAGATTCTGAATGTGAGCTGATCCTCTGATGGTCAGACTCGTTTCCTCGTACCTGACTGGACAGATCTGACCTCTGACCCTGGCGTGACCTTGAGGTGTTTTTCCTAAAGGATGCATACTAGCTAGGGTAGATGTTTGCAGCGCTCCGGGTCACGACACACACACTCGCACACATTCAGTGAGGTCTGGAGGGCAGACGGGAAGACCAGAGCTAATCCTGAAAACTGAGCCGCTGCCAGAAACAAAAACTACACGTCACAGCCGAGAGAGAGAGAGAGAGAGAGTGTGTGTGTGTGTGTGTGTGTGT